GAGGACGAGGACGAGGAGGACGAGGAGGAGGGCGAGGAGGAGGGCTAGGAGGAGGACGAGGAGGAGGACGAGGAGGAGGATGAGGAGGACGAGGAGGAGGAGGAGAAGAAGGAGAAGGAGAAGGAGGAGAAGAAGAAGTATACCTTGACTTAATACAACAGTCCCATAGTTTTTATATGCTGTTTTGTCTGTTAGTGCATTTTCAATCTGTATATGTGATAAGCTTTATAAGGGCATAGAGATAAATAAATGAATCTAATGTGGCAAACAAGAGAGGGACGGAGGCAAGGGAGAAGAAGGTGTTGAAATGTGTTATGCACATGAGCCCATTCTCTACAGTGAATGAAATCATTATATATCGCAAGTATGTACTACTAAAGTAAAAAAAAATATACAATATATAATGAAACCACTATAACAAAAATAGTATGTAATGTGTATATAAAAACAGGCACATAGATCAATGAAATAGAGTAAGTAACTCAAAAATAAAGCAGTGAAAATGCAGCTATGTTATGGAAGTGTCACAAACGTTCCTCAGAGCAAAGCCTGCCTCTTCACCAAGTGGTGCTGGCAGAACTGGACATCCCCATGCAGAAGGCTGAGGCAAGATTGTTAGTAATCACTCTGTGCAAAACCAGCTCAACATGGATTTAAGACTGGAACACAAGACCTGGACCTGTAAAGCAGTAGAGGAGCACGTAAGTGAAGCACTTCAAGATTTAAGCATTAGCATCTTCCTGAATGAGACTCAAATAGTTCTGGAAATAATCACAAGAAACAGTGATGAAATTGCATAAAATACAAAAGCTTCACATGGCAGGGAGCCAGCCTACAGGATGATGGAAAATCTGCAAGCTACTTTTCTGTGATGATTAATATCCATAAAATATAAAGAATTCTTTAAAAAAATTCTGGGCCAGGGAGATGGCTTAGTAGAATAAGTGCTTCCCTGGCAAATGCAACGGCCTGAGTTCAACCTCCAGTTCCACAAAAAATAAATAAATAAAAAAATAAAAATTCTGCTCCAAGTAATTCTATGAACAAATGGGCAAATCTGCTGATCAGATATTTGTCAAAAGAAGGACACAGTGTCAATAATTATATAAATAAATTTCACTATCTGTAGCCCAAATGTAAATACAAAGTATGTTGAGATTTCTTCTCATCTCAGTGAGAATGACCACTATCAATAATTCAAAATATAATAAATATTGGGAAGAGGGAAAAGACAACCCTTATGCAGTGTGCTTCTGGTTGCAGTGTAAATTAATACATCTACTGTAGACATGAAAATAGAGGTTTTTCAAAATCTAAAGATGAAACAACTCCTCAGGCTATCTGCAGGAATCAAAGTCAGCATGTTGTAGTGATCTCCACAAGCCCACTTTACCAGCAATGCAATCAGCCCAGTTGTCTGTCCACAGATTAATGGATTAAGTGTGACATGTACACATGAGGGAATATTATGCTGTAATAAAGAAGGTCACGATCAAGTGATCATCACGATAAGAGAAATACTCTAGACTCAGAAAGACAAACACACAATTTCTCCCTACATGTGGAATATCAGGGAAAATGAAAATAAGATAGAAACTATTAATAAAGGGCAAGGGAGCCAAGTGAAAGAGGAACAAAAGTAGCAGAGGCTGTGTGAAGGAAATGCACACTGTGCACATACATGAGGAGGTCACAAAGGAGCCTATTGGTCTACTTAATGTACACTTCATAAAATGTACTGAGGACCAGTGAGATAGCTCAGTGGACTAAGCTCCTGCTTAAGTAAGTGCAGGGACTGGGGTTCGATCCCTGGCACCACATGCCACGCTGGCTCCTCCCCTAGGTGCACTGAGCCGGCCACCAAGACCAGACATGGTGGTGCACACCTGTAATCCCAGCACTGGGGAGGCTGAAAATGGGAAAATCACTAGAAGTCTGAGCTGCATAGTAAGACCCTGTAATAATCAAATACAAAAAACCAATCAAACAAAAAAAACCCCAGCAACTAAAATATAGTGAAATGTGGAGATAAAGAGTGTAAGAGCAACATAAATATTTATGAATTTATGATATAAAACATTTGACTTCTCTCACTTGAAATATAGTACTTGCAATTGGCACTTTGGATCCTGAGACTCTCATGTCCAAAATTTAGAGTCTACTGTATTAGGAGACCAAAAGCATATTGCCATTGATAAATTTATTCATTTAATTTGTAACACAATTTGCTACTGAGAATTTGTTCCATTATTCATATATTCAAACTTTTAAAATAAATAACATTTATTGCATTATAAATCCTTTCAATTTACTCTGCACTTGGAATATTTTTGTCTTAGTTATGAGTTTGAAGGAAACAAAGATGCCTAACTTACACACACATAATAGTTAAAGGTGTATTCATTGCTTAGTTTAGTAAATTCTGCTATATTTTTGCTTCTAGGTTTTCTTCAGTTTTCAGCTCTTATGGACATATACTGGACATCCAAAGCTTGGGGCAAGACATATTCACAAGCCAGTTACTAATGGGAACAGTGAATTTTTTCAGCTCATTGTCTGTGTTCTTTATGATAAGACATGTTAATCGTAAGCCTTCATTATTTCTTTTCGTTTTTCTGTTTGGAAGCTCTCACATAGTCGCCATATTTGTGCCCAAAGGTGAGAATTTTTTCAGTATTTTGAATCTCATTAGGAATGTAAGCATTTGAGCAGAAATTTTCCAAATAGAAAATAGATGCCATATGCTACTCCGCAAATGACTGGAGGACTTTAAGTTTTAAACCTAGGTCCTTTGAAGGTAGTGGCAATCTACGTTTACTACTTCCTTGAGGCAAGAACTCCTAACCTAGCATGTGTAAGGCACTGTGTGTTGCTGAGAGAAAATAGGCTTGTCTGGGAGTCCTGTCTAGTAGGACTCTGTGCTTGGCACCAAGGCTCCGTGGAGGAAGGGAGCTGGCAAACCAACTGTTAGGCCTGAGTTCGAACCCTGGTACCACTAAAAAGGAAAAAAAAATGTTAGTTTAGGATTTCTCTAGATGGCATCCAAAATTCACCACTACAGATGAACAGGAGTTCACATGGTGAAGAAATATAGACAGAGTATAACAGATAGTGGGAAGTAAAATGGGGATGGAAGGTGTGCTGGACTATGTATTTTGGGGAGATAGATGTATTATGAACACATTGCAACTCCCTGTAACAAATACATTCTATATGTACTGTGAATATATAATAAAAATATAGAGAGGGACTTGGTTACAGAATATTCATGTATCTTTAGTGAATAACTTTCCATTAAAGTTCTTCACTCATCATCTAAAAGGGGGTTTAAGTGGACAATATAAATCTCTGCACAGCAGAGAGCTTTCAGAAGGAATGCCAGTCTGAAGTCATGGGCAACTGTCAGTCTTTATGGTGGGGACAGCTGGGGACTGGAGGAGGGCAGGGGCTTATGAAAAAGAGTTTGGAGATTGGGTGTGCTGGCGCGAACCTGTAATCTTGGCTCTTGGGAGGCTGAAAACAGGAGCATCACTATGAGTCTGATCTGCGTAGTGAGATCCTGTAGGTCTTGTACTAGATACATACATACAGAAAGAAAATGTTTAGAAAAAAGAAAAAAGAGTTTGCACCCAAGAAATGCTGTAAGATAAATCCAAAAATCCTAAGAATTCATTGGAAATAACAAATGAGAAAGGTGATAACCAGGTGGCTCTTATTTTCTGACAAAGACACCCCAGGAGAATCCATTCACAACAGTGATGGACAGGGCCATTACTTTGGTAGCAAGCAGGAGTCTGAGTTTATAACCACTAACGAGTTTTATTTCTGCTAATCATTTTGTTAAGTAATGTAAATGCATGAAGGACTAACAGAGGAAGTTGTTTCTCATTCTACAGGCTGGGAGAAAATATGGACTCATGTCCTTAAACTAGCACTTTCAAATCATTATGTAAATTCTGAAAGTTCTGTCCTAATCTTACTCTTCTTGCTATTTCCTTAAATCAACCTCCTTTAACTCTCACCTGTAATAGAGCAAAATCCTCTAACCTTGAACAATAGCTCTTTTACAAATAGGTTTGCTATTGGTTTTTCTTGCTAGTACAGATTACTTTTCTAACATATTTACCTATCACTCAAACTTTAATTTTCCCTTACCAAGCTTTTCATCGTCTAGCTTTTCAAAATCCTTTATCTTCATGTAGTCCTTCTCAATTTTACATGTTTACTGTTTAGCTAGTATTGTACATTTTATTTCATACTTTAAGAAATTATATCTGTGTACGATCAGTTCAATCTCACTGATACACTCTTCCAACTGCTTTTCATGTTTAGCTCATGAAATCCTGCTGCATTTTGGTGTCAGGCTTTCTGGACTGCCAGCCCGTCTCTGAGTTGGACACTTCTCAGTGCCCCCATAGGTTTCTTCCACTTTTGGCTTAACCATGTTACAATGTCCTGCCTGTTTTTCCTTTGTTCCCCTCCACTTGAATATATCCTTTGACCTATGTGTTTTCATATACGTAATGAATTCTCAAGTGAAATATTTTTCTTCTTTGTGGTCTGAATAATGTCCCAGTTGTATATGCATGCATACATATATGATATATTCCAAATGAGTGGACAACTATTCTTTTTCATCTGAGTTGAGTCATTATGTTACATAAAACTTTAATTGGTTAATAAACACAGGAAACTTACACCAGATCATGAATGACATTTCAGTATGAAACATCTTATTGGTGATTACATGAAATAATATATTATACCTCAGCACCAAATATAATCACCAAACTATAAAAATAAGTGTGTATAATATTTTAAAAATAGCCTAAAAATAGACATGCCATTTGACCCAGGTATACCTCACCTAAGCATATTCCCCAAATAATTAAAGATACCACCCCATACTGATACTTTCATATCCATGTTTAGAGCTGTGAAATTCATAGTTGCTTAGCTCTGGAAACAGCCTAGGTGGCCACCAACAGACAAATAGATAAAGAAATGTTCTTTGCTCAAGGGAGTCCACATTACTCCTTCAAGGAGATCCTAACATGTTGTTGGCCTTTGCATACATTACACAAATTTTTACTTCTGCTCCTCTGTGGCAGAGGGTCTCATCTCTGCAACTTCTACTTCTCAAAGGGTTTCCTGTCTGCCAGTTGACTTGGCCTGTGAAGCAAAGTCACAAGTGTGTATCGACTACAGGAGGCATGTGGACAGCAGAGTGTTCTCCCCTGGGCTTAGATCTCGGGTGGCTGTGGGGACAGCTGAGTCTTCTGTTGCCAGTATGACTTGTTGCCAGCTTAGCCCAGTTTCTTTTGGGTTGCTCTTGTTCTTGCTCAATAAACCCACTTGCTCCCGCTGTCACTTCAGTTTGTGAGTTATAGGATTTATTAGCCTTGAATATTTATTGCTTTGTTTTATGTTTATTTATATTATTATTCTCCAGTTCATTTCTTAGGTTTTTCTATTCCATTTGTTTGAATTGTTATTTATATTCCTTAAGTCTCTTTCCTTTGATTCTCCTAAACTAAATTTGAGTCCCTGGAATTGCATAAGGCAATATTTTTCACATATTTTTGAAATGAATTAATGAAAAGAGTGTAGTTGATGTCTCAGTCTCAACTTTATTTCCATAATCTTGTTTACAGAGATGCACATTCTGAGACTTGTTGTTTTTCTCATGGGAAGAGCAACCATTTCAATCCTCATGGGTATATTTACAGCTTTCTTTCTCGAACTCTCACCAACAATATTCAGGTATGAAAGTACAAATGGTCTATCTTGAGAATCCTTGCTGAATATTTCTGGGACTGTCTAGAACATTTGAATGAGTAAAATGAAATTCGTTTTAAAATGTCAGTGAATTTTGAGAAATGTTGTTCATCCTTAGACCGCCCTCAACATATTTTTTAACAGATTTAATTGTTGTTGTTGTTTTGTTTTTGTTTTTGTTTTTTTTTCGGAACCGGAGATTGAACTCAGGCCCTTGCACTTGCCAGGGAAGCGCTTACTCTGCTGAGCCATCTCCCCGGCTCAGATTTAACTGTTTGGCAACAGTTTTTAGACTCTTTAACAACAACCCTTTTCTAAAACTCATGGTTATGCTGCAGGGAAATGAAACTCCCGACCTGAGAGGTGCCTGGCGTGAGTTCATGTTCTCTGCAACTGAAGAGTGAATTTTAGCAGCAAGCAGGGGTTAAAAGCAGAGTATACTTATTTGGGGAAAGAAAGCTTCTGTCAGAGACAGGGACAGAAGGGGGACCTGAGTGGGTTGCCTGGGAATCTGCAAGTTTTAGGGATTTTTATAGAGCAAAACCACGTGGTGAGGAGTGTCTAAGGTGGAGAACATGGGAACTCATGCACGAAGTAGGACAAAGCTATGGACAACCAGTAAGGGTATCAGCACACTTGCTCAAGGAAAATGGATTAAATTGGGATCAGTCGGGAAGGTGAGCCAGGTAGCAAGCAGGCATGAACACAGAGCAGGGGCTCATCCAGCTGGGAATGTGTTAGGGGCTTTCTGGACCTTTCCAGGTGATTGATGCCTATTCAGAATGTCGATTCCTGATGCCCATCCCTAGGGAAGTATGTGGCTGCATTTGCTTACCTTTTTGTCTTGAGGTCTGGCCCACAACAGGAGTGTTTGTCTCTCTCAAAGTTGCTATCACCTTGTCTTCCATGTTGTCTCCTTCAGGGCCTGGCCCTGTCTGATTGCCTATAATATTTCTATCTAATTCAGCTGCCTGCAACAGTTATACAGAGTTTTCAGGATGTGGTCCAGCATTGGAATTTTAATAGCATTTTTTAAAAAGATCCTTTTATTTATTTGGTACCAGGTCTCATTACATGGCTTAGATTCATAGTGATCCTCCTGTCTCAGCCTCCGAAGGACTGGCATTACAGGTATGCACCAACATGCCAGGTTTCAGTTGCCAGCATGGCAGGGAGACCGACAGGGCCCTGTACTGGGGACTGAAGCTGGGTCCTTGCATTTGCCAGGCGGGCACTTAGACTGATGTACTATCTTTCCAGTCCTAGCATTGGAGTTTGGCCCCTAGATTTGCATTGTGGGAACGGAAAACCATCTGATACAGTTTCATGGCTTCTTTGATACTCAGGTGAGGATCTGTACAAATTAGGAAAAGTAGAACTTCCTGAAGCTATTTTCACCTACAGAAATAAAATGCTGCACAGTAATTAATGGACAGGAGCACAACAGTGTCGATAATATTGTCCATCCACATAAACTATATATGTTCCTACAGGGATAAATTTCCTATTCAAGTTTCTCTCCCGCAACATTCCTTTTCCTGTCTCCTGCCTTCATTCATCACCCCTTTCTTTTTGAACAGTCATCTATCCAAGAGACAGCACAGCAGCAACTTGCATGTCATGATAAGCAGCCCGTGTACAGAAGATCAGAATGACAGGCACTCCAAGCATGAACCTACTATTACAGATTAACATCTTCAGTACAGTTGCTTAGTTCACAGGTGTCAGTAAATATGGTTAGTCAGGGTGATAATCTTTCTAATTAATTGCTAGATTAAAAAATCTTCTGAAGATTATCAGGATCATTGCCTTGCCCATCTTCTACATAGATCTGTATGGCTTGTCACTGTCATATTTCCTAGCTCTTCTCCTTTCCCTCTCTTAATTAGTTAATCCTCGAGTTCCTGCTTTTGTTTTACTTCTATTATACTTTTCTAATTGCAATTCTTCTTTTGAGTCCTTATACTGGGGAAACTATATGATATTTATACATATGTCTGGTTTACTTCATTTATGAGTATACCTTCAAGTGGCATCCACTTTAATAAAAAGGCTTCAAGTTTATCATTCTTTATAGCTGAGTAATACTGCATTGTGTAAAAATACCACATCTTTTTCAACCATTCCTCAGGTGATGGGCATCTTGGTTGCTTCAAAGTTGTATATGGTTAGATTTGTGGACTTACGTATAAACAAAACAATTATATAATTCTTTATGCCTATTTTTAAAATATACTTATTTTTTAAAATGATTTTTCATCATATTCTGTAGGGACTTCAAGTTCAACATATCAGTACTTGATGAAAAATACCTGTTACATGTTATGCCTAAGATGTTTGATATTCAGACAGATAGTGTGGTTAAGCTCAACAGCCTAGGTTGTATGATAATAACAATAAACTTCTCTTCTGGAGGGTTAACAACCTAAGTTTGCAGACCAAAATTAGAGAAATAGGAGGGCCACAAGGAAAGCCAACATTTTGGTCCTAGCCTTCCAAGGTCAATTAAGACTCAGGACACTTGAGAACTTGTATTCTAATATCACATAACTCGGTAGTGTCCCAAATTGTCTGATCAAGGAGATTATGGAGCCAAAGAGGAAAGTGATCGATGATGTACAGTGTGCCTAAACAGAGTCACATGGAGATAAAACATTCTCTAAGGTTTTCACAGAGAGCACATTGGTCAAGCAATGGCCGTGACTCATCCACATGGCTGACACTGACAAAGGATCTACAATCTGAGTTACAGGGTCTCAGGATAAATCTTGAGGGGATTTCACTGACCTCATCAGATCCAAAAGTTACAACTCTTGTTGCATAGGTCCTGCTTTGCCTTGGTCTTAACCATCCAAAAGAAAAGTATAAAAATGAAATATGGGAGGTAAGGCCATGCTGTTATGTTGTGCTGTGGGGGACTCAGGTCAACAATTTCTGACAATGCCAGTGAAGCGAAAGCCCCAATACTATTATGGACTACTGGACTCTTTTAGAATATTTTGTTGAGTTAACACACCTACAATATTCAAATAATTGAACTAAACAAAAAAAGGGGGGATGCGGATGAATGTCCGTTTTGTATCTATGTAATCAAAATGGTTAGGATAGATATATAGTTACATTTTCTTAATGAATAGAGGGATTTGTTCTAATAGTATTTGTAAATAGGATATCATGTCTGCATCTTGTATGGCAATTAACCAGTAGGAAGAATGTATACAATGTGTTAATTATTGAAACTATACTACCAATTTGGTTTGAAACTGTCTCATTGCTACTTGTTTCTCAATAAAATTTTGGAAAAAAAATAAAAATAGAGGAGAGCTTCCATCTACCCTGTGCTGGCTGGAGGTACTTGTTGCAGCCCAGGTGCAGCATAGGTGAGACCCTCTACCACCCCCTTGGGAAGCCCCAACCACTCCGCAGCACCTCTCTCACACTACCCACCCAGTAGGAACTTCTGCCGCGTTCCGGGAACACCCAGATCCAGTCCTAGCCCAGGCCCAGTGAGTGTGTGGGAGAGCTTCAGGCTACACTGCACCAGCAGGACCTACTGGTTCCAACCCAGGCGCAGTGTGGGTGAGACCCTCTTCCCCTCCCTTGGGAAGCCCCCAACACTCCACAGCACCTCCCCTACACCACCTGTTGAGTAGGAATTTCTGCCGCATTCCATGAACCCCCAGACCCAGTCCTAGCACAGTCCTGGTGAGTGTGTGGAAGAGCTTCCGCCTACCCTGCGCCAGCGGAACCTACTGGTCCCAGCCCAGGTACAGCATGGTGACACCCTCTTTCACCCTTTTGGGATGCACCCATCACTCCACAGTACCACCCAACACCCCATCCACAAAGTAGGAATTTCTATTGTGTTCTGGGAACTCCCAGATCCAGTCCTAGACGAGGCCCAGTGAATGTGTGGGAGAGCTGCCTCTCCCCCTACTCTGCATTGTCCCCTCCAGACTCAGCTCATGTCTACCATAGAGGACTGAGGTGAAACAGTGCAGCTACAATCCCTGCAGAGAGTGTAGGGGACAGAACCACCCAGATAGTCCAGGAGCAGAACATCTTGCCAGACGGGCAAAACAGGATCACTCCCAATGGCAGCAATGGGAAGGAACTGAGCACAGCAGCCAGACCCAAGCCAAGCACAGATGGATAAAACTTTGTAGATCTACACCTGAACTTCAGTAGGTGCTAAGACTATAACCGAAAGGAAGATCTACAACAAAGGTCAGAAGACAGTGCTATACAAAATGACAACGAAAAGGAGCAAAGTGCAATCTCAAGCCCCAAGCCCACCCATAACAAGTGCAGACACACTAACACAGAACAAATTGGGAAAACACAGCTGAAAGCAATGAATCAATGACTTCTGAAATAAAGAAACAGCTGCAAAAAGGTATAGAGGAACTCAGATTGGAAATGAAAAAAGAAATACCTGAATTAATAACATCTGCAGTAAAGAATCAAATGCAGAAACATATGGAGGAAACCCAACGCCCAACCAGAACAAGTGCAGAAGACACTAGCTCAGCTCAAATGTATGAATTAATAGTGTTGATAGTAAATAAGCAACAGCAGAAAGTCAAGAGGAACTCAGAGTGGAATCCTTTTCTACTAGCTCAGCTCAAATGAATGAATTAATAGTGTCGATAGTAAATAAGCAACAGCAGAAAGTTACAGAGGAACTCAGAGAAGAATTCATTTCTGAAATAAAAAAAAGAATTCTCAGAACTTGTGGCATCCGAAGTAAAGAACCAACTACAGAACCATAGGGAGGAAACCCAGTCTGAAAAAAAAAAAAAAAAAA